AATATAAATAAGTAGATAATAACTAAATAAGGTAATAAGAAATGTTGGGTATAACAATATAAATATGGGAAAGAGAATGAAATAAAAATGGTAATAATAAAATCTATGTATCGATGATACAAAAATGGAAAAAGAAAAGAAATGTTCAGTAGCACGGTTTTATAAGGGAACACCAAATTAGACTATTGCATGTGAATTGATCATCGTAGAAGTGGCGAGTCTAATTTATTGCCACAGTAGTTGATCATTTAACGATCGTCAAGTCAAAGTGGCGAAAAAGTCAACGACGATCGTGACAACGGTACAGTACATGATGAATGAATGATTTTAGTCAATTTATTTGGATAGAATTAAATATGTGATTTTTAAAACGTACTAGAATCCAAGTCTTAATAAACCTAGTCGAAGTTATAAGTCAATTCAGTCCGTCGAATTTAGTCTCGAAAGGTTAATAAAGTTACAAGTCGAATTCAAGAGATAATTTCAGATATATATAAACCTTTATTATATTCATATTTATTCGGTTATTAAAGTGACGTGAAGACTTCCGTTCTTTATTGAATTCAAGGTACTTATATACATTTTAATTTTGTAGGATGCTTATTCTAAAATATTTACGTCTATGCCATTTTATGGACATGAGCGTTAAATTTGTAACAGTTACTAAAAAAGCGCACATACACGAAATTTTGGACGTCGACGCGACACTTTCATGTGCTAAGCTACTAAGTCACCATTAATTACTATTTTAGTACACCTGATTAAAATATTTATATGGGACGGAATCACATATTAGATGGTTACTGTTATCAAAACGGGAATTGGGGAGAAAAATATGTACATATGAAATATAATACCATGAACGTAGTAATGAAATTACAAAGAGTATTGTTATCAAACAACTAGAATGGTAAGTGTGCAAATCGATTACAGATATAAAACGTGAATGAATTTGCATCGATATGTATGTGTATGTGTGTAAATAAAATAAGGAAGTTAGTACATACGTACCGGGTTCTTCGCTTTTTGTAAAATCTAAAATAGCGTCGTATTTTTTTTTTTTTTTTTAGCGAAATAGCTAGCAACCCATGTTTGTGTTAAGGTGCGAAATTTGCTACCTTTGCACTAAACATGTGACTATTATTTTTGTTCTTAAATAGATTTACGTAAATGTGTAATTGTATGCGTATTTTAGATAATGACCGAATAACTCACTGAAAAAGAAAAAAAAATGGATACAGTATAAGATTTATACTTACCAAGTATAATAAGCTGATTTGCTAATTTTGCGAAATTTACTAGCCAATTTTGGCTAGCATTTTGGTTTCTAACGGCTGGCCCTGGTGTGTATGTAATTTACTATGTTATATAACGTGATTTTCAAGACAAAGACCCCATATGCAACGTTCCTAGTTTAAGCGCGACTGCGTCGCGCAGCTACATCAAAGGCTACACTAAAAAATTTTATTCGTCACAATAGTTTTGTATTTATGTGTTGACTCGCATGCGAACGGAGTCACAAGGTGGTGCATTGCGAGTCATTGGGCTTGTCACTGGATTTTCACGTGGTAATTCAGTCACTGGACTTGTCCACGATGAAATGGTATTTGAGTAACCTGATGTTCTACTAGTTTATTCTTGAATTTTTTTGCTCAACATTATGTGCAGTGTAGGGATATTAACAGTCCGTTTCGGTTCGGTCTTTTTTTAGTTAATTTCTAAGATCGTTTAGAAAGCCAGCAATTTAAACTTATGGTCTAAATTTCATAATAGAAAACCGACGGTCTTTAAAATAATAAGCTGTTCGTGGGCCAAACCTTCAATCTGATTATAATCTACATAAGAATAGTCCAGAACCAGTCAAAATAACTACAGTGAATGCTTTTACGACCAGTCTTAAGACTACAGTAGTTTAAAATCATGGTTTGGACTATTTTAAGACCGAATAAGATCAGCGTCTCATAGGTTCAGACTGGTCCGATGACAGACTGCGGTCTATTGGTCCAAAACAAGGCTAGATTACATCCCTAGTGTCCAGTTATCCCTAGAGATGGGAAAAGCGAAGATTTATTGAATCTATTGCGCAGGCTGCGCAGCCTGCACAGGCCTGCATTATGGTAGTTTTCTGCTAATGCCAGAATTGTTAAATTCCGAAAAATTCCGACCTTACGAAAAATTCCACCTGCGCAAAAGAAAAAAGTCTGACGCCTAAAAAATTCTGCTCTATGACATTCTGCGGCTTGTGATGCGATCCTATCCCATACTGTATTACATGTTGGCCAAGAAGAAAAGATTCTATAGCGCGAAATAATAATGCTCCATTTATGATTTTCACGAGTATGTCTATCATAAATGAAATCAATTGATGTCGATATTCACAATATAAAAAAACCGTAAACGCGAGTTGCCCTATAATATTGAACAATCCAAGGCAGCTATTAAAAATTATATACGGTTCCTTGTTACAATATCTATGGTTAAAGTAACGCAAAAAAATTTCTTTTTATATTCTTTGCATTGTGAATAAAATGTTAAAAAAAAAAACTGCTAATAATCAATTAAATTATTATGTCAGTTAATAATAATTATCAAAGTTATTAAGTTTCAGCAACATCTAAATTTCTAACTCCATACGTAATTGATCAGGATGGTTATATGGTTATGTTATGTTGAAGGTTGTACTCGGGCAGACATTTTTTAATAATGACTATGATAAATTACCGAATAATTGGATAAATTAATAATTCCCGGGTAGAAATTTTCTCGACGCATACAATCTTTAGGTAATGCTGGGATTCGCAATATAATGATGATTATGATAAAAACTTATCTTGAATTATTGTGGTAGGTTATGTCACACTATGCGAGGCGCACATGCGCGTCATATTAAAAAAGTTAGGTTGAGAAAATCGACCTTACTTTAGAAATAATGCACCCCAAATAATGCGCAGGGTGGGCGTTATTTCGCGTTAATAAGGCAATTACTATTGTTACTAGACATAGAAATGAAGTTTAAACATTAAAAAATCTATGAAAATTATAAAAATATAAAAACCGTTGATCAAACTATATCTATATGAGTACCACCAAAGAAAAGCCAAACATTGAGTATTTTAACTTTAATATCGTTATTCTTGGTTCAGCCCTTGAAAGAACTTATGTACGCACGTACGTATTTAAACAATAGTGTCTTTTTTGTAATGTAAATAAAAAATCAATAGAAAAATAATTTTATCACTTTTTTGTTAATAACTCTAATGGAGATGCAAACAAGATGAATATCTAATACTTGGTATTTTTGTATAATAGACCAAATTTCTTACAGTATGTACTAATTGTAGCAGTAGATCACATTGTTACTTGATCGCTAACAATTTATTATTCAGTTGTCCCCAGTGGCATAACTTTATTTATACTGCAGCAGGGTCGATGATATTTTCTGTGGTAGAATTTAGTTTAAAGTAAGTAAATGTTCCGGTTTGTATATTTTTAGATGATATATTTTAAAACTAGCCATTTGGCCGGCAAATGGCTGACTTGGTCCAAAAAACTTATTTGGCTGAAATGTCCAAATATTATATAGAAAATCTAGCAAGATGATTGGTTAATGTTATATAAGCTATTCGGCTGAAGTTTGGTTACTGCCATTGGCTGTTGCCAATTTAGGCCGGACAAAGGCCAAAAAAAATTGGTTGGCTGCAGGAAATTACCAACAATGTTTGTGAGGATAATGTAAGCGGCTGATGTTGGCATGATCTGTGTCTAACAAGTGGCAATTTTTGTTGTTAAGTCTATAATCGAAAAAAATTCTTTGGTTGTCATTTAGGGTTAAAACTTTACGAAAGATAATGGCTAACCATAATTATCGAATTTCGAACCGGAGAGAGATGTAATTTCCGTAAGTTGGATTATTTACAGATCAAAACCGGAGACTTTGAAAGATTAACAAATTTTTCAGATTTTCCAAAATATGAGAATAGCTGTAAGTGGATTTCGAGTTCAGAATTCATCTAGAGCATAATCACGTGCTAAAAGCGAATTCAGGCACAGAATATAAACATTTACGTACTACGTATCAAGTTTTTTTTTGTTTGCCTGATCAAAATGCAGGGTTGGGTTTACTTCCAAACCAGTTCTAATATAGTACTCTAGTTTAACAGCTGGTTTGAATATTTTATTTAATACATTTATAATTCACTCTAGTCTGGTTTGGAGTGCTCAATGATAATTCAAATTAACAACTCCTACGTACCTAGGTTCAGAATCGAATATAGTCAAAAATGAAGTCATTTCGTTAAAATGACCAGTGCTAAATGACTAATCACCTATAACATTATAAATGCATTTAATTAACGTAGTATATATTTACGGTTCGATACTAAAAACTTTAGAATCGGAAAGTCATATTCGTGATAAAGATCCAATCAGCTATGGTTATTTAGGATTACCAAAATAGTTTAAGCAAAAAAATAATGATTTTAAAAATGATGTCCAATCGATTTTTTGACTTTATTCTCACTTTTTCGATTCGACATCGTTTTTGGTTCTATTAAATGATGCCACCCAAAGTTATGAAGGCGTAATAATTATAAAAATACTTGTACGTAAGTCATGAATTTTATTTTCGTAAGGGCCTGCTGTATCTTGTATTTTTTTTTTTTTTTTTTTTTTTTAGTTGCATTTATTCGGAATGTCATACAATATTTCCGATTAATCATGTTTATTCATGTTTACTACGTGGTTGCATTTTACAAGGTTACAAATAATTCTTTTGGAAACATCTTTTGTCCATCAATTTAAAACTCTCGTTTCCGTCGAAGGTGTGAAATAATTTCTAATCATTATTCGTGTAGGAAATTTTTAATAACAACTACTTTTCTATAATTTTCTTAACAAGGTTTCAACAACAGCATTTTACAATGGGTTCATATGATGATTATTACATGAATCCAAAATTTGATCCCCAAAAAGTTACCATCGCGCAGCTGCGTGAAATATTAGATGCTCATAATGTACATTACACTAGTGGAGAAAAGAAGGCGGATCTAATAAGAATATTCAATAAACATGTCCGACCACTTATACCATCTTTACGAGAAAAGAAAACTCGAGCTTCAAAAATAAAAAACGATCCATTAAGTTTACATGTATCAAAAGATTTCTTAAATTTTATCTTAAATTTTAAATTCTTTATAATAATTGAATTCAAACGTTTCCATTGTATGTTCTAGTCAATTCATTTATTGGCACGTAGATGGTCAATTATTCATGTTGTAATTTTTGCAATGTTATTTTCATTTGGATTTGCAATCATATATAATGACGAATTTTCGAATATTTCTACCAGCTACGAAAGAGTACAAAAAGTAAGATTCTATGATGCATAATCTTAAAAAATTTGATGAATATATTAATTTAACATTACTGTACAAAAAATTTTTTCTAGACTAATTGGATTCCTTGTCCATCTAATGCTCATTGCTCAAATGATAAGATTATCTCGTGTGATAAAGGTTTCGTATTAGTATCATCTTCAATTCCCTGGCTCAAACCTTTCACCAGTAGATGTATACTTGACCATAGTCTTGCGCGAAGGGTTAAAAAGTATACCGAGCTGCTTAAAAATATTGCTGCCAAAGAAGCTGGAAGAATTGAATGCGAAACTGGTCTTCGCGAACATTTATCATTTCAGAATCTCCTTATTCAACTTCGTAACCGGAAATTAGTAAATATAGTAACTTTTTAAGTTTAATTATTTAACGTGTTTATGAATGACACTAATGGTCAATGTAACTAATAGCTTGCTTTTTTTTTGATAATAATCATTTCAGGATACAGACCAAGATTTTGAATTACTCACTCGTATTGTATTGGAACACTTGAAATCTGATGATGACGTTGAAGTTATCTATAAAAAAGAGTGAATTTCAAACTTATGCATTTTTAACTCGTAATATTAACTATAGTTTTATTAATTTGCAATTTATTTATTTTTAGCTTTGGTCATAAAACTAACATCTATATTATCTCAAAGTATCCAAACCTATTTCTTTTCTGCCGTCTTAGAACCTATTTTACCTATAAAATCAATTTCAAAAAACAAGAAATCACCAAGGAAATTATTGGTATAAACTTTTTAGACTTCACAATATTTGTTTAGAGTTTAAATAATTTATTTTATAATCTTAAATACATTTCAGGATCAGTATTTACTTTAATTTTTATTGCTTATTTTGTGGGAAAACTGGTAAACAAAACTTTCAATGAGCAAATAAATGGCAAATTTAATATGAACCAATACTTAATGTCAAAACAAAATAGATCTATTCACAAAAAGCCTCAGAGACCGACTCTGAAATTAAAGAGACTGACTCTGAAATTAAAGAGACTGACTCTGAAATTAAAGAGACTGAAATGACGATATTGTCAACTTACAACTTAGAATATATTTCCGTCAAGGAATATTTTCACCAGGGGCTTCCAAATCGCACTATTCTTGGAATACTGAAGCTGAAAATGCCAACTGAGCTTGTTAAAGCTCATGAAACATATAAAAGCCAGAACTTTCTTAATCGCACACATAGGATGTTCCATGGAACAAAATCTCTTTGCAATCCCCAACGATTTATCGAAAATCCACAAGCAAAGTTTTGTAAGAAAGGATGTGGAGTATGTGGAATCGCGCAAGAAGGTAACAGAACAAGGTATTCAAAATACTACAATCATCGCAGTAAGTAATTTCTTAAACTTTTCGCATATCGCATTACTTAGTTTAAAGTTAATACATTCATCCTCTTTATAAGAAATGTGGTTTGCCAATAGTTCAAACACATCATATTCCTATTGCAATCAGTGCAGCTATTTGTTTAATTCCAATGCGAACGCCATGTTTGTCGTTGATGTTGCCTCTGTATTTGGTGGTTCAATAATAACGGTTGATCGTGATGCGGTATGCATTCCATAAATTATTTGTTAGCTGCTACTTATATATTATCACTTTTTTAATATAACAATCTTATTGCGTCTAAATCAGGCAACGATTCCAAAATATCTTATCATTTTTCGATGAATAGAATACATATACGAATTGTCGTCAGGTTAATTAATATATAAATTTCGAAATTTCACGTTAGAACATACCAATAATTTATTCTTCGGAGACTAGAGGTATTAAGACATTTATCATTTCCTTACCATTGTACAGTCGATACTGTCTAATTGCATATACTCTCTAAGTGCATAAAATTGACTTTTAATTATTAACACCAAATTGGTTCTTATGGCTTAATTGCATATACTGTCTATATGCATAAAAAGTCTTTGACGGATGGCATGCAATTAGACAGTATCGACTGTAATTCTAAAAAATTTCCGTAAACAAGCACTTTTTTTTTTACGTCAATCTGTTTACAATAGCAGTATTACCTACTACTGTAGATTATACGTTTAATAAAATAATTAACTATAAAAATCATAGTTTTTAATTTTTAACTTGTTAGTTTAGACCTGTTAGTATAATCGTATTTAATGATGCCTGACGAACTATTTGGCGCTGACGAAATGGTTTCGTCAATGGTTTCGTCTGACGAAACGACGAAACTACTGACGATTCGACTGACGATTGACGAGACTCTTGACGAAATTAATATGACCAATAAAAAATAAAATGCAGTGGACCATCTTTCAACAAGCTCCTTTATTACGTCCTCAGGATATTCTGAATCTTAAAATTTTCAAAATTACTGATGTTTGATCAAAAAGTTTCGACGGTTCTTTCTTCGTCAGACCCATCGGGTGAGTAATGCAAATCATCGGGAAATATCGGATAAATATGTCAAAAAACATAACAAACCGGGCAGATATAATGAACTGAACGAAAAATTAAACTTACATGGGCTATTTATTTCCATTAACTAGTTTTCAATGACTCCTAAAAATAAATCCTGTTTTTAAAATTTTTCTTATACTTTTCATATAAAATTTGTTTCGTCATAAGTTTCGCCATTCGTCACGAGTTACGTCATTCGTCACGAGTTACGTCATTCATCATTCGTCATTTCGAAGTTGCCTGACGAAATGGTTTCGTCATTCGTCATTTCATGATGAAAGTTCGTCATTCGTCAGGCATCATTAATCGTATTGCAATATCATAAAAAAAAAAAAAAAAAAAGAAAACATAATTTAAATAATCAACACACACATTGAATAAATTGACGACTATTTTATATTCATAGTTAGGTCATGCAAACTTAATAAATTGGTTCTCATAACTCGGCCAGGTCAAATGTCGCAAAATTTTTGAAATAATTTCGACTATATTTACTACCCGAGTGAGTTTTTTTAGAAGTCTATAAAAATTTTTATATGCTTGATATATTAAAATTTTTTAAAATAAAATTAAAAGCCGGGTCGCTGGGTCATTTGTCAAATTTTATGTTATGAGAACCAAAAAAATTAACTTTGTATGGCCTATATGATTTATATAAATATAGTTCCTTTTATTTCACTGACGATCACTTCACCGACAATTACGTAATTCACCGACAAGTTCAATTTATCGACACTTATTTAACCGACATTTCACAGACAAAGTAATTCTGGTCATTGTAGATAGGTTCAGGTTAGAATTAGAGTTAAGGTTAATGTAATTTATATAAAGCTTGTCGGTGAATTGAAATGACTGTCGTGAAATAAATTGTTGGCGATGGACAAGGTAATAAATAAATAATAAATACTTATTTTTTTTTACCCTTACGTATTTTTACGTACCAGTACTTATTATTGTTTATTACGACTGATTATGATTCACAAATACAATTTGAATCGGATGATATAAATTTAAAAATCCGATCTGGCTTATTTTACAAATACCAGTTTTTTTTTTTGTTTACTTATTATTATCATTACGCAAAAAAATTTAGTGGTAATATTTCTTAATATAAGTAAAAATTAGGGATGGTAAAAAAACGTTTTAAACAGTTTTTTAAACATTTTTTATTGTTTTAAAACTTTTTTTAAAACATCGAA